TTAACTCCAACACAGTGGTTGTGGGAGACTTTAACACCCCATTATCATCAATAGATAGGTCATCCAAACAAAAAATCAATAAAGAAATCCTAGATCTAAAATATACAATAGATCAAATGGACCTAGTGAATGTCTACAGAACATTTCATCCAACTTCTACACAATATACATTCTTCTCAGCAGCCCATGGAACCTTCTCCAAATAGATCATATCCTAGGGCACAAAGCAAGCCTCAGCAAATATAAGAAATAGAAATTATACCATGCATTATCTGATCACAATGCAATAAAACTAGAACTCAACAACAAAAATAAAGACAAAAAACATGCAAACAGCTGGAAACTGAATAACTCATTGCTTAATGAACATGGGTCATTGATGAAATAAAAGAGGAAATTAAAAAGTTCCTGGAAGTCAATGAAAATGAAAACACAACCTACCGGAACCTATGGGACACAGCAAAGGCAGTCCTGAGAGGAAAGTTTATAGCCATGAGTGCATATATTAAAAAGACTGAAAGATCCCAAATCAATGACAAAGTGATACATCTCAAACTCTAGAAAAACAAGAACAAGCAAATCCCAAAACAAATAGAAGGAGAGAAATAATAAAAATAAGAGCTGAAATCAATGAAATAGAAACCAAAAAAAATACAAAGAATTAATGAAACAAAAAGTTGGTTCTTTGAAAAAATAAACAAGATCAACAGACCCCTGGCAAACCTGACTAAATGAGGAGAGAAAAAACCCAAATTAGTAGAATCAGGAATGCAAAAGGGGAGATAACAACAAACACCATGGAAGTCCAGGAAATCATCAGAGACTACTTTGAGAACCTATATTCAAATAAATTTGAAAATCTTAAAGGAATGGACAGATTTCTAGATACATGATCATCCAAAACTGAACCAAGAGGAAATTAATCACCTGAATAGATCTATAACACAAAAGAAATTGAAGCAGCAATCAAGAGTCTCCCAAAAAGAAAAGTCCAGGACCTGATGGATTCTCTGCTGAATTCTATCAGACCTTTAAAGAAGAACTGATACCAACCCTCCTTAAACTGTTCCATGAAATAGAAAGGGAAGGAAAACTGCCTAACACATTTTATGAAGCCAGTATTACACTTATCCCAAAACCAGGCAAAGACACCTCCAAAAAGGAGAACTATAGGCCAATCTCCTTAATGAACATTGATGCAAAAATCCTCAAAAAATAATGGCAAACCGAATTCAACAACACATCAAAAGATATTCCACAGACCAAGTAGGCTTCATCCCAGGAATGCAGGGGTGGTTCAACATATGAAAATCAATCAATGTAATAAACCACATTAACAGTAGCAAAGACAAAAACCACTTAATCATCTCAATAGATGCAGAAAAAGCCATTTCATGATAAAAACTCTAAGAAAACTAGGAATAGAAGGAAAGTACCTCAACATTATAAAACCTATATACGATAAACCTACAGCCAGCATTATACTTAATGGAGAAAAACTGAAACCATTCCCTCTAAAATCAGGAACCAGACAAGGATGCCCACTATCTCCACTCCTATTCAACATAGTACTGGAATTCCTAGCCAGAACAATTAGGCAAGAAGAAGGAATAAAAGGAATACAAATAGGTAAAGAAACTGTCAAAATATCCCTATTTGCAGACGAATGATCCTATACCTTAAAGACCCAAAAAATCTACTCAAAGCTCTAGACACATCAATAGCTATAGCAAGGTAGCAGGATATAAAATCAACATAGAAAATCATTAGCATTTCTATACACTAATAACTGAGCAAACTGAAAAGATTTCTATACACTAAGAATGATGAAAACAATTCCATTTACAATAGCCTCAAAAAAAGTCAAATACCTAGGTGTAAACCTAACAAAGATGTGAACGACCTCTACAAGGAAAACTATAAGCTTCTGAAGAAAGAGATTGAGGAAGACTATAGAAAGTGGAGAGATCTCCCATGCTCATGGATTGGTAGAATCAACATAGTAAAAATGTCTATACTCCTAAAAGTAATCTACATGTTTAATGCAATTCCCATCAAAATTCCAATGACATTCATTAAAGAGATTGAAAAATCTACTGTTAAATTTATATGGAAACACAAGAGGCCACAATAGCCAAGGCAATACTCAGTCAAAAGAACAATGCAAGGTATCACATACCTGACTTCAAACTATATTACAAAGCAATAACAATAAAAACAGCATGGTACTGGCACAAAAACAGACATGAAGACCAGTGGAACAGAATAGAGGACCCAGATATGAAGCCACACAACTATAACCAACTTGTCTTTGACAAAGGTGCTAAAAATATACGATGGAGAAAAGCAGCCTCTTCAACAAAAACTGCTGGGAAAACTGGTTAGCAGTCTGCAAAAAACTGAAACTAGATCCATGTATATCACCCTATACCAATATTAACTCAAAATGGATCAAGGATCTTAATATCAGACCACAAACTCTAAAGTTGATACAGGAAAGAGTAGGAAATACTCTGGAATTAATAGGTATAGGTAAGAATTTCTCAATGGAACCCCAGCAGCACAGCAACTAAGAGATAGCATAGATAAATGGGACTTCATAAAACTAAAAAGCTTCTGCTCAACAAAAGAAATGGTCTCTAAACTGAAGAGAACACCCACAGAGTGGGAGAAAATATTTGCCAGCTACACATCAGACAAAGGACTGATAACCAGAATATATAGGGAACTTAAAAAACTAAATTCTCCCAAAATTAATGAACCAATAAAGAAATGGGCAAGTGAACTAAACAGAACTTTCTCAAAAGAAGAAATTCAAATGGCCAAAAACACATGAAAAAATGCTCACCATCTCTAGCAATAAAGGAAATGCAAATTAAAACCACACTAAGATTCCACCTCACCCCTGTTAGAATAGCCATCATTAGCACACTACTAACAACAGTTGTTGGTGAGGATGAGGGGGGAAAAAGGAACCCTCCTACACTGCTGGTGGGAATGTAAACTAGTACAACCACTCTGAATAAAAATTTGGAGGCTACTTAAAAATCTAAACATTGATCTACCATATGATCCAGCAATACCACTCTTGGGGATATACCCAAAAGAATGTGACAAAGGTTACTCCAGAGGCACCTGCACACCCATGTTTATTGCGGCACTATTCACAATAGCCAAGTTATGGAAACAGCCAAGATGCCCCACCTCTGACAAATGGATTAAGAAAATGTGGTATTTATACACAATGGAATTTTATGCAGCCATGAAGAACGAAATGTTATCATTTTCTGGGTGATGGATGGAACTGGAGAACATCATTCTGAGTGAGGTTAGCCTGGCCCAAAAGACCAAAAATCGTATGTTCTCCCTCATATGTGGACATTTGATTAAGGGCAAACATAAGGGGATTGGACTTTGATCACATGATAAAGCGAGAGCACACAAGGGAGGTATGAGGATAGGTAAGACACCTAAAAAACTAGATAGCATTTGTTGCCCTCAATGCAGAGAAACTAAAGCAGATACTTTAAAGCAACTGAGGCCAATAGGAGAAGGGACCAGGAACTAGAGAAAAGGTTAGTTCAAGAATTAACTTAGAAGGTAACACACATGCACAGGAAATCAATGTGAGTCAACTCCCTGTATAGCTATCCTTATCTCAACTAGCAAAAACCCTTGGTCCTTCCTATTATTGCTTATACTCTCTCTTCAACAAAATTAGAGATAAGGGCAAAATAGTTTCTGCCGGGTAAGAGGGGGTGGGGGGGAGGGAGGGGGTGGGGAGTAAGGGATGCGCTAGGGAAAGGGGGGAGAAATGACCCAAACATTGTATGCACATATGAATAAAATAAAATTTTTTTTTAAAAAAAGGGCGAATGTTGGAAAAAATCTGGGTGGTCTTTGCAGGAAGCCTAGGGCAATTGACAGGTGTGATTGACAAGGTCTTGTTATATTAACATGGAGCATTTTACACATGTACTTATGCTGATTCCCATGTTTTTATAATGGAACTATTTATGTGTTTGATTTTTCATTATGTTTGTTTTTAACACATTTGTCAGTGAGGTCTTTGAGGGAAAGAATTGTATTTATTTGTCTTTTTAGTCTCATCGTCTAGCATACTGCTCAGCACAGAGTAAATCCTCAGTAAATGTGGGTTGACTGAATAAATAAGTATCTTAGAGGTATTTATAGTATGTGCCAAAGTATAGGTGTGATTGAAAGGCTATTCTCCATCTTGTTTTGGGTTTACAAACTCATTATTTTCTTCCTTTAAAACAGAAAAAAAAATGAAGTTAATTTACTAGGGGACAGGAGAGGCTTTTCTTTCCTTAGGTGGTATTTGGAAAGTTTTACAAAGCTGACTCATGATTTTAGGAAGCAGTGATGATCTCCATGTGCCCAGATCTCTGAGAGTGTCCTAGAGTCCATGAATACTGTATTGATTGCTCAAGACTGGGCTGTTAATAACTAATATTAGCTGAAAGGAAGCTACCTGGACAATGGTATTTTGACAGACAAATCAGACTTAACCTCAAGAAAGAGATGCATAGTATAAAGAAAAAAAGACTAAAAATGCCTCTGACAGCCCACTACATATGGGGAAATCAATGAATGCTGCACACAGGATATGAGTACTTATGGATTTTCAACCCTGGCACTTGAGGCTCCATGGTTCACAAATGCCCTGATGGGACTACTGTAGAATGAAGGAGGAAAAGATCTCCATATGTTGAGAAACTAGCAGGCAGTGCTCCAGATTTCCCTTCCTGGGTTTTTTAAGCAGAACAGTTCTACATTTAAGTCAGTTTCAGGTACTATACCACCAACATAAGATTTTGTTTGAATAAAATTCTGATGCTAGAAATATAAAAAGTTGAAAACCACTGGTCTAGGTAATGGACATGTATTACTTGGATATAGTGATTTCAGCTGACTCTAGTTGGCTTAAGTGAAAACCACTTTGTGCTATAATTCACATGTCTCTATTTTCTGATAAGCTGGAAGAACTCATGGAAGCTGAGGATGCGCTCTCTGAAGCCAATGCCCTGAACAACTACAACGCTGAAGTTGGGCATATCTGGCTCTGGTCTGCCTGAAAGTGAGTATTCTTATTGTCCTTCTACAATATCCTCTGCACTATGTTGACTTACTGTCCTTACACAATGCCCTTTTAAGGCAACAGAGGCAAGGGGTCAAGTGAGACAGCAGATGGCCATTAATGCATAATTGAAGCATTTGGCCATTATTCTGATGAGAAAGGAAAGGCCATGCCTGGGCATCTTTTTGCTTGGAATGTGCTTAAGAATTTCTATTCAGATGTGTTTTTCTAGAAGGGACATTCTAAAAATGGGACATGTTGTAACAGAGCATAAACCTAGTCAAGGATCAGCAGAGAGATGCTCTGAGTCTTCCGAATCATTTCTGCTTGTGAACTGCTGAGGGGGCTTATCTTTCATTCATTAAGGGAAATTGGGAGGAAAGTATTATGATGCTTTACCTATTAAAATATAACTCTCCTCTTGTTAGACTTACAAGTAATTTTCATATCAGTTTAAAATCAAATTGAGAGAACCTCAGTTTTCCATTGGTCAACATGACACCAGTTTGAATATCAATATAACAATACCTGGAAGGGTTGGTGAAATGGCTCAAGTGGTAGAGCATCTGCCTAGCAAGCGTAACACCCTGAGTTTTAAAACCAGTACCAAAAAAAAAAAAAAAAAAGTATCTGGATTCTTACCCCAGATCTGTCCCAATTAGCTGCATACCATGGGGCAAACCACTTAATTATAGGCCTTAGATTTCTCATCTTTAAACTAAAAGAGAGCCAGGTAGCAGGGGCTCACACCTATAATCCTAGCTAGTTGAGAGGCTGAGATTGGGAGGATCATGGTTTGAAGGCCAGCTCAGGCAAATAGTTGCAAGACCCTGTTTCCAAAAACAACCACAGCAAAAATGGACTGAAGGCATAGTTCAGCAGTAGAGCACCTGCTTTGGAAATGCAAAGGCCTGAGTTAAAAAATCCAAGTCCCAACAACAACAACACAAAAACCCCAAAAAAACAAACCCAAATCAAAAAAAAAAAAAAAAACTGAAAGAGTCAATAGGAAAGATCTTAATATAGTTTCTTAGAAACTTCTATCAAAAAATAAAGACACATAGAGCTATATAGCCCAATTAGTTGAGTTTAAACATCAATGTACTGTAGAATCATGTACTTAAAAATTATAGCACATTCTTTTCAAGCAGAAATAAGATATTCATAAAAATTGAACACATGCCAAACCACAAAGAGAAGTGCAACAAATACATACAGATCACATTGTAGTAAAATCACAAATCAGCAACTAAAATATACATATATATACATACACTTTGGAAACTAAAAATATGCTTGTAATTAATTAATTAATGGGTCAAAGAGAAAATCCTGTGACATCTTCAATGTGAGGTCTTGTGTTAGGTAGAATTCTAAAGATGGCCTTTTATATCCCCAAGATCATACCATTAAACACTAGGCTATGTACTGCTGTGAAGGGATGTAAGTAAAGTTCCAAATCAGTTGAGCTTAAAATACAAAGTTTATTTAAGAAGATGTGACCCAATTAAGTGTATCTTCTAAAAGTGGAGTTTTCTCTAGCAGAGGATAGAAAAAGAAGTCATTCGACTAATGATTGCTGGCTTAAAGATGGAGAAAGACCGTATGTCAAGGCTTCCAGAGGCTAACAGTAGCTCCCACTGAGAGTCAGTAAGGAATAGGGACCTTCCAGTTTAGTACAAGAATCTGAATTCTACAGTGAGGTAACCAAACAGATAAGTGTCTGAAAAAGGAAAGCTTGTAGAAGGTCAACTAATAAATGTATAAAGAATGAATGAATTAGAAAATCACAATTTAGAAACCATCATCAATATACACAAAAACTCTGGGAGAAAGTTTAAGGAGTAAGGGGATGTTTACATAGATAGTTATGCACTACAAAGTGGGCACAGTAACATTCTAGGACAGAAAACTGGAAGACAACAATCTTAAAAATTATCAAAGTTAATATCAGCAATATTGAGATAAAACAGCAGGTGCTTCCTGATACAATACATAAAGAATACATTATTCTTGTGGTATTCTTGCCAAAAGATTGTGATCTGATCTAATTATGAGGAGACATAAGACAAACACAAATTGAGGAATATTTTACAAAATAATTGTGCTGTGCTTTAAAAAAAATATCAATGCCACAAGACACAAAGACTCAGACACTATTCTAGATTAAAAGAACAGGGAACAGAAGAAGAAACTGAAGATGTGAATGCTGAATGCAATGCATGATCCTGGATTTTATTTTGCCATAGAGGACATCATTGGGATAATTTGAAAAATCTGAATACGGTTTGTAGGTTACAGTATGTATTATATCTATATTAATCTCATTTTGACAACTGGACTATGGTTGTGAAAATGTCTTTTCATTTTGTTTTATTTTTGGCAGTACTATGGTTTGAACTCAGGGCCCCTGTGCTTAGTAGGCAAGGGCTGTGCTGCTTGAGCCACACCTCCAGCCCAAGAGAATATCTTTGATTTTAGAAAACACACTGAATAAAAAAATTACATCGTGCTTGCAGTTTACTCTCAAATGTTCAGGGCAAGTTTTGTGTGTATGAGTGTTTCTTCTTAAAGGAAGAAACATGAAGATCTGTACAAGGATGTTTACTGCAGCAATGTTCATAATAGCAAAAAAACTATTTTTCAAAATCATTTTGGCACCGGGCACCAGTAGCTCACGTCTATAATCCTAGCTACTCAGGAGGCATCACAGTTTGAAGCCAGCCCAGGCAAACAGTTTGCGAGACGCTTTAAAAAAAAAAAAAAAAAAACTTCACAAAAAAAGGGCTGGTAGAGTGGCTCAAGGTGTAGGCTCTGAGTTCAAACCCAGTACCACCACCACCAAAAAAAATCATTTTGGCTATTCTGGATGCTCACATTTGGTCCTCTGCCTCTATGGCAGAAAGGAGTCAAAGGCAATAGTAGTAGGAAGAAAAGGTGTGCTGGAAATTCAGTGATTTTTCAGGAGGGAATATTTCAAAGTGTAGATATCACAGGAAGTAAGGACTTGGGATATGAAAGCTTTGTACACTAGTAAAAATCTGACATGGACTAGAACTGTTGGATTAGACCTTCTTTTCTAGTGCAAATATTCTATGGTTTTACATTTATGTATTTAAGCTTTTCTAAGTGACTTTTTTGTATATTCTAATTTGCTATGTACACACTTGTAAATTATAATAGTGAATTCATATTATCTCACTTAACTCTTGGAGGAGTGCTTCATGTGAGGAATAATTTCAACAAGGTAGTTAGTGTTCTCATATCCAGATCTGCATAGAAGCATTCTTTTTCTAACGCTTAAAAATAGGATAGAGTACAGTAGGTAAAAACTTGAAGCCAGACTTCATTGCTTTGAAACCTGGATTTTCTGCTAACTAGTTTAATAATCCTGACAAATTCTTTTTTTTAGCAGCACTAGGATTTGAACTCAGGGCCCCACACTTATGAGGCAGGTACTCCTACTACTTGAGCCTCTCCATTAGCCCCCGACAAGTTCTTTACCCTGTGTCCAGGTTTCTCTCTCTGTTATCCTGGAATGATAATAGTAATTATCTTCTAGGTTTTAAGAATTAAAAATGAATCTAGGTAAAGCACTTAAAACATCACAGTTAAAACAATGTAAATCACATAGTAAACACCATAAAGTGTTTATCATTATTAAGAAAAATGCTTCACTCCTAAAGGAAGAAATGACCTGTGCAGCTTTTAGGGGGAAAAAATGCAAGGCCAAATCGTCTTTAAGTTTTCTTAAATGAAGGAGGGATTTTTAAAAATACTGACTTTTGCCTACCACCTTTCAATTTCCTGCTTCCACTTGGAATGTGGAGGCTCTTAACTGGGAAAGTGTTATCCTGTGCTAGGAGAAATGTACTTTCCCCACCATAATGGTGATGATGCGTAATCATCATCACCTGCTGTGCTTTTTTCAGGCTGGGCGGCAACTGGAAGCTGAGCAGGCCTACAAGTACACAATAAAGGTATGACGCAGATGCCTTAGTCATTTGCCTGCACCATGCTGAAGGTGGAAACTGAGAGGAAGGTGTTGACTTAATTCAGAACTTCAGGGCATTTCACGATGAGAGTATTTTTTGAGAGGCTTTCCTTACCATCTTTGCCATTTTCTGTGGCTGCTGGGTTTTTAATAACCTACATATTGCCATGGGTGGTCTTTTCTTCTACCTCCTTAGAGAGAAAACAACTTGATAGAGAGCCACCTAGGGCTGCCAGGTGATCTGAATTATAGTTCTGGTTTGCCATTAATTTAATTGTATCAACCTCTCTGGGCTTCATTTACTCATGTGAAAAATGAAGGACTTGGTCTAGTCTTTTTTCTATAAAGACAAAAATAGGAAATATTCTAGAATCATAGGGCAAATATTCTCTGGTGCAACTACTAAACCTGCAAGTGCAAAAATACCTATAGATAATACCTTAATGAATAGCTGTGTTCCAATGGAATTTTATTTACAACAAATAGATGGTGGGCTGGATTTGGCTCATGAACAACCCAATTTAATGTATTAGTTACGATTCCAAGTAATTTGACTTGAAACACAGCAGCTTAATTAGTTTTTTCTAATCTAATGAGAAGTCTAAGGCAGCTACTACAGCTCCATGTCATCAGTGATTCAATCTCTTACCTTTTGCTCTACCAATCATTATCATGCAGTTTCTATACCTCATAGTTGCAGACAGTGTAGCTCCAGCCACCAAATCCATGTTTCAGGCAAGATAAAAGACAAGAAGGGGAAAAGAAAAAAGTTGCTATGCTGCAACTCTTTCACCTCTTTTTAAAGTACTTTCCCAGGTGCTCCATCTGATGACTTTAACTTGTATACTTGTATTTCAGTGCCCATAATAGGTCAGCTGACTACCTCTAGCTGCAAGGGAAGCAAAATGCAGGTTTTTAGCAGATTATCTTGCTGCCTTGAGAAAAAATAAGATTTTGTTAATGGAGCTGGGTGTGGTGGTCATGCCTATAACTGCAGCACTCAGGAAGGTGAGGCAGAAGGATCTTGAGTTCAAGGCCAGCTTGGGCTACATAGTGAGGCCTTATCTCAAAAAAAAAAAAAAAAAAGATTATTCCATAGGCTACTAGATGACATCTAGATTCTAAAATCAAATTCAGGTCTATGATTCCTTTTGTCCATTACCAAATGGGAGTACTACGTATTAGTGGAGAGATGATGGTGATAATGTGAACACTTTAAAAAAAAACTTTAATAAACTTATACAAGTTTCACAAAGTAAGCACAACTCACATAGCCAACACAACATCTAAGGTTTTTAAAGAGAGTTTCCATGTAATAGAGAATATAGGAAAAGCCCATCCCATCCCAAAGAACTAACTGTATCCCCACAAATGAGGGGTCTTGAAAGCTACTTAGGTGTATCAGATGTGACACGTTCTTCCTTTCCTTGTACAAATAGCTGAAACTGAAAGATGAGGCTCTGCTTGAAGAAATCCACACTGTACAGGAAATGGTTGGCTTTGGAGATCCATCTTTCTGAGGTCCTTGCAAGTGAAGAATTTTCACTATGGGGCTCTGAGCTCCTTTCCTTACCAGAGTTTCATCATATGAAGCCTGGAGCTGGAGAACCAAGGAATGTTCACCACAAACACAGAAACCTATTCATTTATTTCTGTTGGCTGTTATTGGATGTTCTACTGGTTTTGACAGTAAAATGGATTGGAATAAAAAATACAAAAGATCAAAATTCATCAGTGTGGTTTTGGTATATTGAAGAATATGTAGCATATATTATATTCTTGTATGATAATTATGTAACTACTAACATGCAATTACTTATGTTATATATAAATACAATTAAGGTACAATGACCGTCACTATGATGGTTTTTTGATAAAATCTTATCAGCTCACTCCTGGAGGAAGTCAGCTGCTAAGGTCCTGGCCAGGTTCACTTACTGTATTTGGGAATTAAGGCACTCTTCAAAGGTGGGCCTAGAAGACTGCTATGCGAGGTCACTGTATATTAGAGCAGAGAATATATTAGTTATAGCCAGGCATTTTGGAACCAACGGTGAACAGCTGAACAGAAAGGACTCTACCAACTAGGAGTACTTCGGGATCTAAACCACAAGGGCTCCAAGACAACATTACCTATGAGATGCAAAACTCCTCACTAGTGAGGCGGTGTCGTAAGGTTTGATGATAAATCATAATCCAGCCTTGTTCTCTTGGATCTCAGTGCAGCAAAAGCAGGAATCAAGGCTCCCCCTCCTTTATTTTTTTAATGGCGTGACCACCTCTATGAGGATGCGAGGAGTGTAATGGAGGACAAGCTGGTCATAATAATTCTTGTCCTAGTCTCATTCCTAACGCTACCTTCTTTCTGAAGTCCTCGCGAGGAAGCGTCAGCTGCACCTTCTCTGCGACCCTGCACTGTGTCCTGAGCGCGCGTGGCTTCTCTCCGCTGCGCTCTCGGACTCCCCACGAGGAAGGGCCGACGTGAGCCTGCGCCTCGGCCCTGACAGGGCCGAAACGCGTGCAGAACGGACGGCTCCAGAGCCCTCAGCACTCTCTCAAGCCCCTCACTCCAGCAGCGACTCAGCGCACACTCGACGCGCGCCACCGTCCCGCACGAACGCAAACAGAAGCACTGCTTTTGCGGCAGTTTACGAAGCTTTGGGAGCGGTGGACGGAAGAGCGAAAACCGGAAGAGCGAAAACCGGAAGAGGCGGGGCGAGTGGCGATCCGCTTCCTGAGCCGAAACTTTGGAGCTGGGGTGTTGAGCTACTGTCTTGGTGTCTGGCTGCCGCGGCCGCCCGCGCCGCCCTTCAGAGCTTGCGAAGCCCTGGACCTGGTCTGTGCGAGAGCGGGACGATCGGAGAAGCCGCGCCATGGTGCACCTCAGTGAGTCATCGGGCCCCTCGAGGTCTGCCGGGCGGGGTGGGATGGGACCGGGGCGTCCAGGACCTTGTGGAGCCCAGCTCACCTGGGTGCGTTGAGGAGCTGTCATACGCCTTACACTTGATCCTCTTAACCAGTTTTCCCATTTCATCCTCGCGGAAACCCTCAGTCGTTTTACATACGAGGCGACTAAGGCTACGACAAGGTCACAGCTAGTAGATGGCAGTTCTGCGCGGAGTGGATTTGGGGATGAGGAGGTCATTTCTGGCTGGAGTTAAGAAGATGGTACCTAGACCAGATTGACTAGAATAAGTTGAAAATGAGGACAAGTCAGTGGGAGAAGGGAATTGTTCCTCTTCCTCGTTTTGCATATTTTGTGCCTTCCATTCTGTGTCCTAATCAGTTATTTTTGTTCAGCTACTCTTCTCTGCAAGGCCTATCATGGGGGCCACTTAACCATCCGCCTTGCTCTGGGTGGCTGCACCAACCGACCTTCTACCGCATCGTGGCAGCTCACAACAAGTGTCCCAGGGACGGCCGTTTTGTAGAGCAGTTGGGCTCCTATGATCCACTGCCCAACAGTCATGGAGAAAAACTCGTCGCCCTCAACCTGGACAGGATTCGGCATTGGATTGGCTGTGGGGCCCACCTCTCTAAGCCTATGGAGAAACTTCTGGGTAACTCATCTCTGGTCTTAACTCATTTGAGGGATCAGCCCCAGGATGATGAGAATGAAGAATCCTTTCGTTTCCTTCAGGCTGCTCAGGACTGGAGTGGAAGCTGAAGCTGTGATCTAATTGCCCTTTTGAATCTGGAGACCCCTTTTGTGGACTCCTATATAAGACTGGTGGCACTGGGGTTTGAACTCAGGGCTTCATGCTTGCTAGACAGACACTGTTACCACTTGAGCCACTCCGCCAGCCCCCTTTATGAATCTTTGGGTGGCTGGGATTTTATGCCAAAAATGGGAATAGTTTGTGTCTATTCCTGTCAGTTTGCCTTTTTTCCAAGTAAGAACAACAGTGTTAGGAAGTAAACACAACCCACTGTTTTCTTGTAGTAAATGGGAGGAGGAAGTTGGAGTTTGCCAAGTCAGGAGCATAGTTTGTTTTATATCCATGCTCTGTGTCAGAAGTCAGACCATAGTTCTGTGAAGCAGTGTTCCCAGGGAAACTGGCATATTCTGTATTATAATAAATGAATATTCTGTTGCTTTTAGGTCTTTCTGGCTTTTTCCCTCTGCATCCTATGATGATCACAAATGCTGAGAGACTGCGAAGGAAACGGGCACATGAAGTCCTCTTAGCTTCTCAGAAAACAAATTCAGAGGCTACAGAAACAGAAACGAACTGACTTCAGTGAACACAGTGATTAGAAGGTCAAGGTCTCCTAAAACATTTGTGGAGAACTCTTACTTTTGTTAGGTTTGGAGGTCAATAAATGGAGTTTTCTGAGTCACCCATGCTCTTTTGGCCTAGCCTGAGCAGGGGCAAGGCAAAGATTTGTTATTTTTTGATGTAAGAGCTGGGTTAGATACTATTAATGTTTTTCTGCCTTCATTTGTAGTGACTGTGGGGAGGACTGGACTCTGTCTTGGACCCTGCCTGGGTCAGTTGGGCAGCTTTACAGTCTGCTGCCTTCTTCAGCAGACTTTCCGGCTTCAAAGTCTGGGCCAACCAGAATGTTCTTGGCTCATCCAAATGTTTCCTTAGTCATTCACGGTCATCTTACAAGTTCAAGAACACAGTTATCTTGCTTATTGTTTTTTGTAATTGGAGTTTTATATTGTTTATTTGACATATAATCTCATCCACCTTTACAAAGAATGAAAATAGCCTATTTTTAAGAATGAGAAATTAGAAGGAAGCTAACATTGTAAAGCATCGACATATACCCAAAGTTCTTTATATTCAAAATTATTTGAGAGGATTATAAAGTATCCTGAAAGGAGGTAAGGTTATCTCCATTTACAGATGTGGAAGCTGAGACTCCGGAGACAAAAACTTGCCCAGTGATTCACACCCCAGTGTGCCTACCTGGAAAGTCTTTTCCAACATATTCTCTATATGTGGGGAAAACAAACACATTAGAACTTTTGTTTGGGGTTTTTTTTTTGCAGTCGTAGGGTTTGAACTTAGAGCACCTGGTTGCTAGGCAGGTGCTTTGTCACTTGAGCTATGCCCCAGCCCAAAGTTGAGGCTTTTAAAGTATACTTAGAAAGTCAGTGATAGAATTATGTTTGGGTATCATGAGTTTGGTAATATAAATGACTGACTGCACATCTGTCTCATTGGAGCTGCAGGATTCTAACCACAAGCATGAATTTCACAGCTTTTGTGCACTCTGGATAGTGCAGATTTCAAATTCTGACATAAGACCAAGATATGGGAAATTCATGGAGAAGGTTTTAAAGCCATAGCAATATTCTTTGTTAGTCTCTGGGTTCTGGGGTTCTAAGAAGAGGTACTAGCCAACTCAAATTCTGGGGACAAGAAGAGTCCCCAAGGGCTATTGCTGCATTACCTCCACTTACTTTGAGAAGACTTTGAAGCCAGGGAAGTTGGAGAGGAACTGACTTTAGCTGAGTTTGATCTTGGATCTGAGAAAGATTTTTTTTTTTAGGGCTATGGGGCAGTACTGGAGTTTGAACTTGGGGCTTGTGCTTGTTAGCCAGGCACTCTATTGCTTGAGCTACACCTCCAGCCCTTTTTGGTCTGCTTATTTTGGAGATAGGGTCTCACTTTTTGCCCATATAAACCTAGACCAAAATCCTCCTGATCTCATCCTCCCAAGTAACTAGGATTACAGGTAAAGAAAAGTGCTTTGAAAACACTGGCATGTTTGTGGCTTTGCAGGAACTTACTGACAGAGGACAATGTGATTCTGGAAAGGCCTGATAAGTGAGGAGAAAGGATGTCAAATTGGGTTTATTTTGAGCCCCCTGAGCTTCTGCCACTCAGGTATTCTGCTTTTTGCTTTATCCTTTGTATAAAACCCATATTTCTCGGGTGAGTTTATCTTCTTGATTTAAGTGTTTCTCACCATGGATTATGGATAAGGGCCCAAGCCCCACCCTGCTAGCAACTCAAATCCAACACACTCAAACCCAGCTACATACTCTGCAAAACATTAAACAGACCCTTTCCTTCAGCAGCTTGGTTGTTGTGTATGTGGTTTTTGTTGTTTTTGAAACACTGTCTTGCTCTGTTACTCAAACTTACTTTGTAGCCCATGCTGCCCTAAAACTGGCGACCCTCCAGCCTCAGCCTCCCCACTGTTGAGATCACTCTGGCTATATTACCTCCACCTATGTGTAAGATGACTCTGGAGCAGGAAAGTGAGTGGGGATGATTCTGTAATGTCAAATCCCTAAGTCCTGTCAGATAAATGAGTTTTCTACTAAGATCGGTGTTTTGTACATTTTGTTCTTCCTGCAGGGGTTGAGGGAAAATGGTATCCCAGCAGTCCCAGCCTCTAGACTGTTAAGGTTATTTGGGACTACGACTGTACTGTTCTGCGGATTGTTTTTGAAAAAAACAGATTTAACCGTTGAGTTCAGCCATGTGAAACTGAATACTAGTTTTTTTTTTTAAGTGCAGTTGAACCCCTAGCTCCTTCCCAGCTCCACACAAAACTAAGCCTAATTAATACCCGGACGTTCCATACCTCAATGTATCAGTAAGTTTCTGCGCTGGCACACGGGGGTGAGACAGAAAGTTTCCAGAATAAAGTAAGGAGAATCGCCCTGGACTAGGTGTGGTGGCACCCAGAAGACCGCGGCTCCTGCTGGAAGTCGCGTCTTTTGCGGCTGGCGCTGGCCCGAGCACACCCACTTTGCGGCTGTCGTAAAGCACAGCTGCGCCTTTAGGCCCCGCCCCCTCGCGCTTCTTGTGACGCAGGCGCCCTGGGGTTTTTGAGCGGGAAAAGGAAACAGTGCCCGCGGACCTGGATATCCGAGCAGCTGAGGTCTGCGAAGGCAGCCCAGCATGGGGCTGCTGGAGCTGTGCGAGCAAGTGTTCGGCACCGCTGACCTTTACCGGGTGCTGGGCGTGCGACGCGAGGCTTCAGACGGCGAGATCCGACGCGGCTACCACAAGGTGTCCCTGCAGGTGCACCCCGACCGAGTGGACGAGGGCCAGAAGGAGGACGCCACCCGCCGCTTCCAGGTACCTGGGCTCCGACCGGCCACTCGGACCTCTCCCGGGCTTCGGGCCACCCGACGCTGCCCCGGGGGAGTGCGCTGGTCTCGGCCTGGCGTTTTCTAACATTTATTTCTCGCGGCGCGGTTTCATAGCGAGGTGCGGCGGGTGAGTTGGATGCTCTTTTCCCGCAGATCCTGGGGAGAGTCTACGCTGTTCTAAGTGACAAAGAGCAGAGAGCAGTGTACGATGAGCAGGGAGTAGTGGACGAAGACTCTGCTGTGCTCAACCAAGACCGGGACTGGGAAGCGTACTGGAGGTTACTCTTTAAAAAGGTAGGGGGAGTTGGAAGCTTCTTTATGACTATTCCCGTCATTCAGTAAACAAATCTCTATTTTTAGTAAAATTAGAGGTTTAATTCCTGGATTAAAGCAGTGTTCTTTATTAGATATCTCTAGAGGACATACAAGCATTTGAAAAGACGTACAAAGGTTCTGAAGAAGAGCTGGCTGATATTAAGCAGGCCTATCTGGACTTCAAGGGTGACATGGATCAGATCATGGAGTCTGTGCTTTGCGTGCAGTACACAGAAGAACCCAGGATAAGAAACATAATTCAGCAAGCTATTGATGCCAGAGAGGTCCCCTCCTATAATGCCTTTGTCAGAGAATCGAAACAGAAGATGAATGCAAGGAAAAGGAGGGTAAGACTTTGTATGCTATTGATGATTTATCTTAACTGCTTCCAAAAAGGATTTGAGTGTATTTAGGACTGCGTGAATAAAAGATCACTGAAATAAGAACTAGGGTCAGCTTGTTCTGCTCTGTGCATCTAATTAAATGGGCAAGCCAGTTCATCAAGAAAAACTTCTTTATTTTGGTATATTGTACTCGACAATTTTGCTGCATGGGTTGTTAATCGTATCAACTGAAAATGACACTGAAATATCTTTCATGTGTTCTTGTATCTTTGCTGAATCTTTCCTCAGGAGAAAAAGTAATATGGAATCCAGGTATTGTAGCAAGACACTGATCCTTGATTGATAAGTAGAGAGAGGATGGCAAAGGTTGTCTTGGTAAACATGCAAGCTGTAGCTGGGCATGGTGGTGCATACCTGTAATTCCAGCACTGGGGAAGCTGAGGCAGGAGAATTTTGAGTTTGAGGTCAGCCTGGGCTACATAACGATACCCTGTGTCCGAACAAAAAAATAAAGTGCAAGGCTGGGAGTGTGTGTCTCAGTGGTTGATCACGTGTTTGTACTAAGCTCTGCACTGCAAAAAGAAAAAATTACAGATTCCTTAGCCCATAAGTGTGTACAGTTATGTAAAAAAAAAAATGTACAATGCAGAGACAAAAAGTGAAGATTCTTGGGTTGGATCCAGAGTATACATTTTTAAACACAGTTTATTTTGAGATGGTGTCTTTCAGACTGTATTTTGAGGAACACATGATTGTCTTTATTCCCTTATTAAACTGGGGTGGAAGGAGGATGGTAGAAGGGAAAGATATTTCAAGGAGAGTGGATTCAGGGTAGCAAACACTGGAAAAGTTGCCTTAGACTGGAATCAAATTTTTGGGTTGCATAATTGGAGTTCCTTAGAGAGCAGACAATTTGACATTTTAGATCTTTGGTGGGTTCTTGAGGTACCTTTTAAAAGTGTGTCCCAGCTGGGTCAGGAAAGGTCTGCAGCTTTTATGTACAAGATAGCATACATAACATGCAGAGAGAAAGCTGACCTTTTTGTTTTGAAAACTAAAGGGCTTGTTTTGCTTAGATAAAAGGCCATGTTGAGCTGAGAAATGTATATATCAAAATCATCATTTTGCTTCACGGGCTACATCTGCTTAGATTCAGGTTCACAGTTAAAAGTTTTCTCAGGTGAAATTGAGCACAGCTGTATTGGATGATAGGCTGTTAGCTTGAAAATCTTCCTAGAATTTAAGGGGAAATTGACATTGTTTTGAGAGGCCATCCAGCAAATGTGGGGGAGAGAGGGATGCTGAATTTTGAGAAATAATTTGAATAAAGAAAACTGGGTCTTTTTGGTGGTGATAACAAGATTATTCCCAGTATTAATGGCATTCTTGTTACTTAGAAAATTCATCAGGGGTTAGAACCACTGATTGTCATAGTTGCTGCCTAAGGCATTCTTACGGTATTCTGGAAAATTTGGTAAATGAAGGCAGCTCTGAAATCAGAAAAAGAAAAGTTACACTGCCGTGGCTTATGCCTATAATTGCAGCTACTTAGGAGATGCAGATAGAATCGGTTTGAGGCCAACCCAGGCAAAAAAGGACATGCCAGCTGTAATCCCAGTTAGGTGAGAGGTGTAGGTAGGAGGATCCAGGTCCAAGGCCTGCCTTCCTCCCCCTCCACCCCCCAACAAACAAACAAAAAACTTCAAGACCCTATCTGAAAAATAAAGCATAAAGGGCTGGAGACATGGCTCAACGTCAAATTTGAATTTATTTTGTTGTGGAACTGAAGATTGAACTGAGGGGTTCTGAATTTATTAATGTTTCTTCTGACTGTTTAGGAGAAATAGTTTTAAATCAGAAGTTCACAAGGCTGCCACCTGTCCTTTGTATTAAACTGGGTTTTCAGAGGAGGATCCTGAAGTGCCTGTGTTCTGGCATCCCTTTTGGGGATGTCTTTGGCTAAGGGAACCTTCGTGGTTGACTGATGTAGCTAGCATGTTTTCCTTTCTATCATCTTGTTTATGATATACTTGCTACCTCTTGCAAGTAAAAATGGGGATAAAACAGAAATGCTTACTAGAATTGTGAACTGCTGCATGCTGTTAGCATTGTTTGTCTTCTTCTAATAAATAACATTTGTGTAATTGTATTCATTTTATCTATTTCATATAGTCAAACTGAGTCATATATTTCCATGAGGGGAGAGGGTATATGTGAAGTACTTCTGGGTTGCTAGAGTCTCAGAGTTTCTATTTCAGGCTCAGGAAGAGGCTAAAGAAGCAGAAGTGAGCAGGAAGGAGTTGGGGCTTGATGAAGGAGTGGATAACTTGAAAGCACTCATTCAGGTAAACTTACGTTCTGACTCCTATAACTTATGTACTCTTTGGAGTATATGTGGTATTATATTTTGTTTTCTTTTAAGATCTATACCATCTACCTACCTTTTTTTTTGAAAGTACAATTTGGTGGTTTTACTTCATTTGCAAAGTTGTACAACCATCACCACCATCTACTTCTATGACATTTTCACCATTCCAAAAGAAATCTGATACCTATTAGCAGTCACTCTCCATTCTTTATTTTCCCTATCCCCTGGTAATTGTAAAGTACTTTCTGGCTCTATGGATAGCACTGCATTTTGAAAGCTGTGTTTTAACTTCTCAGAGCAGACAAAAGGATCGCCAAAAGGAAATGGACAATTTTCTGGCTCAGATGGAAGCAAAATACTGCAAACCTTCCAAAGGAGGAGGGAAAAAAATGGCTCTCAAGAAAGAAAAGAAGTAATGGATTTTTCTCCCCTAAGGTCCTTTATAGGCATTAACAGGTACCATGATAGGCAAGTTGTAATCAAGACTCGAAGACAGAAGTTAATCTAACCTTTGAGAGCAGTTGTCTTTCCCATGTAAATTATTTGGATCAAGTAAACCATCAAAGTCTGATTTTAGTATTTCCTAGCACTAGTCTGATACTGTATGGGGCTCTCACACTTACTCATTCCTGAATGAGGAATGTGGTAGTGCGAGTTGGAAGTGCAGTACCCTGCCTGACAGTACTTGCTTCCTAGGCTTTTGCCCAGGAGGGCCGTGTAGGATGTGGATGTCTGTACTGCTTTCAGTGATGCGCACATCCATTAGAACAGGCACTCCACCTATTGAGAACACCCTCAGGACACTTGCTGAACAGCTATCTTCCAAATAATTGCCAGCTTGCTTTTGTTCTTAATGGTTTTAAATAGACTCTTTCTGTTCTACTTGGCCAGGTTTTGTACTTTATCCTTCATGTATAGGAAAAATAAGTGTTCAGATTACTTCAAACATTTTTGTAAGACATATATGGTTAAATAAAAAAGTAAAAAGTTAAGTTCTGGTGGCTTTTTAAATGATTCTATTGATATAGAAAAAATAATGTTTAGAATCAAGAAGAGGACAAAATCTATTCAGCATTATAATAGACAGCCTGGTTTCACTGCATAAAGAGATGTATATTGTAGTCCTATATCTTAACTGTTCAGTGCCCTTAGGCAGGTCATTGAGCTTGCCTGAACCTCTTTCCATGTATATAAAATCAGAATGAGATCCAAACTTTTCAACTTGCATTGGCTCTGGGAACACACAAAAGAGTGAGTGAATTGAGCTGAAGGGAATTCATAGCGACATCTTTGGACTCATAACTAAGTTTGAAAGGCATGTCATATAGAGCTGGTGGATATAGGCCAATCATGGTACTGATTGTGAGAACAGTAGATTTTCATGACTTGGTAGTATGCACTCACTAGAATACAGCATTTTAAAAAAAACTGTTCAACTTAAAGTCTGACTTATAGACTAAACATTATACCATACGCATAAATAGGCCTCTCATAAGCATTATGTATTCTAATGTATGTGTAAGGTAAGCACATGACACATTTTCAGTTTGATTACAAACAAGTTAAAAATACTTTTTAATTGTATTAAAAATATAATGCAGTTTGTTTGAAGCATCTGTTTTTATATAACACTAGCATGACGTGTATAAATAGTCACTTCAATTTATCATTTGAATTTACCCTGATAATTAACAATATGATCAAAAACTGATAAGATAAATAAATCTAATATTCAATGAGCTTTAAATAAATTTAAGCCACAGTTAAAACCATTGCTACTATATTCATTAATGTCCTTGAGAAAATGTCCTTGCTAAAAATCAGAAGAATGCTGGAATGCTCTACTTCCACTGCTCTTAGGATCTGTTTATACTGGACTAATTAGCACTACAGGTTTTCTTAAATTTTTAAGGAATTGTACCTTGGTGGCTTACAAGTAGATTCTGCAGGTGATTTTTTAATAATAATGTTCCCAGTTTCAGGAAGAAAATATGGCAAGGTAAGTTCGATATTTGGAAAAGATATGGCCAGTGAAGTATTTAAGAAGAAAATAAGCACAACGTGGTATCAAGCAGGCATTGTGTAAGATCAAGTTGTCCTATCTGAAAAAAATGCAACATAAATTCATTACAGAAGTTACTTTACACCAATGCTTATGTCTACTTCTGCTTTGTTCTGTTGATAAGACTGGACAGCTAAAGAAAAAGTTGTAGGAATGACATTTATTTGATGAGTAGCTCATATTGTTGACAGCACTATCTCTTAAAAGTGACGTAACACTGAGCACAGTTTTCCAGAAGTTATAAGCAGAAGTATTCTGAAGCCAGTGATGGTATCAAACAATCATTCACTACTTTTTGTGGATATGTAATCTCATAGATATCTGTAATAATTTAACTGATCATTGTTAACAGACAACATGAGCAATGATTTGGGGTAATTATTCATTGTTATATCTTTGGGTACAATCTTCACTGTCCATTGGAATAGGTTAACTTAGGCTGAAAGAAAACAGTAACTGCAGTTACTCATGGATACGCTTGTGTTTTTCTCAGTCAGTTGTACCAGAATAACTCTTCATGGTGGCGGATGCATGTTGATCTCGTATACAAGCTCTGGGTCACTTGACTGAACTCTGATTCACGAAATCTTCTCATGTGTTTGCTACAGTCTAATGGGTTCTTCTTGTTTGCCTTATGGTCCCTGTCTGGTTCTAGAGACTGGTCCACCTCTGCTTTGGGATTTTGTCGACCCATGTAACTGAGAACCTGTTAGACACAAATGATATCTTAGAGTTACACTAGGGAACAGTTTAGATTTGGTAATATCCTAGGTCTTTTTTGCTTTAATTATTGTTGGATGTTAAATTTGGAGACTGGGACTAGATAAAAATATATTCACCAAAGGCAATAAAAATAACATTTACACACTCTATAAAAATTAAGGAAGAAAAAAACAGGGCTGGCGGCATGGCTCAAGTAGTAGAATGCTTGCCTAGCAAGTGCAAGGCCCCTGATTTCATACCCTAGGACAGCAAAAAAAAAAAAAAAACTCTAGTCTTAAGAAATGAAAGCAGTTATCTAGTTTTGTGGAAGAGCCCACTAAAGTTGTTTTAGTTGCACCTGACCAAAAGTGCCAAAGTGGCTGAATGTAACTGGAACTCAGAGGCAGCTTTGCTTCTCTAGTAGGGATCTAATGAATGCATTCAAAGACTACCAAACAATGCTAACTAGGAACTGAAGTAAGAGGAGTCACCTAGACTACAAGATGGCTTGAGGAAGATAGTTTTTACTGCATTTGCTGACTTCAAAGGAAACATTTCAACTGTCCAGTAATCTCACCTATGGCGTAATGAGAATGACCCAGATGGTGATGAGAAGACAGAGGAAGAATTAAGGCATCCTGAGATTTTCTCCCATTATTCCTTTGGTAATATAATTTACAGAGTATGATTTGAGATTGAAAAAGAGTTAAGATAAAATCAGACCATATCCTGATGTTTTAAGATTTTGTTTTCTTACCTTGGCCTAACAGGTAAACTGACCAAAGCAATTTAATCCATAGGGATATGGTTTTTGTCTACATAAGAAAATTCTTAATATTCTTACGGAATATTATAATTGTAATAAAAATGACTTTCTTGGTTCCGATTTTTAAGTTAGAGAAATTAAAAAGTCTGCCAGAGTAGTGAAAGGTTAATTTATATGGTATGAAAAAATATGGAACTTTTTTGGTTCTGAGCAGTTGTACACTATTATATCCCATCTTCCAAAATGAAGTTGAGGAGATTTATACAGATGTGGGAACAGTAAATACAAGATAACCTGGAGGAAGAGAAGCATGGGGGAAAAAAAAAGACAAAGGCAGGGTCTTAACAGATCCAAACTAGTAAAGAGTGAGCTGTAGCCCCACCTGTAACTGCAGATCCCCTGCCGGGTCGGGCCTGATGAGGATACTCAACGGCACATGAAAGACGATACTGTGTATCTGCTAAAAGAAAAGATGAGACAGGTCTTACAATGCAACTTCTCTCAAAAGATAATACTTTGGCAGATTTGCAGGGAAAACTTTGAAATTGACAACAATGTAAAAGGCATCATTTGCCAACCTGAGAGAAAGGTAAACTGAAGGCACTGTTAGGCTCCTGGTAGAAATCCTAAGTCAGATACCCACAAAACCATTTGTTACCTTACAAAATTGTACATGCTACAACTTTATTAGTATGCCTTTAAGAAAATCTTAGCATTTATAAATAATCTGTAATGGATATAGAATATTTCAACTAGCCTCCAAGGAACTTCTTTTGTTTGGTTTTGAGATGGTCTCATGAAGCCTCAGCTGGCCTAGAACTTGAGATCCTCCCATCTCAGCCTCCTGAATGCATCACCAGGCCTAGCCAACAGTTCTGTTGAGTGCTGTTTTAAAGCAGAACCCATCTTTTCAGTAAGAAACATCCATGACTTTATCACCCATAACCTTTTATTTTATTTTGTTTTTCCAGTACTGGGGCTTGAACTTAAGGCCTACACCTTGAGACACTCCACCAGCCCTTTTTTGTGAAGGGTTTTTTGAGATAGGGGCTTTTGAACTGTTGGCTTCAAACCATGATCCTCCTGATCTCTGCCTCCTGAGTAGCTAGGATTACAAGTGTTGGGTTACCAACACCCGGCATATTCTTTTTTTTAATGAAACATTTCAAAGTTACCTCAACTAGCTTAAAATGTAAAATTTGACTAGAATAGGAAGATTTAAGTAATTTTTTCTGGCAAAGTTCCCATACTGTAGAGATTAAGGCTCAGCAAACTTTTTTTTTTTTAAAGGACTAGATTGTTAATATCTTAGACTTTGTGAGGCATATGGTAGTTTTTGTAGTGACTTTCCTGTTGTGTGAAAGCAGCCATAGACAAATGAGGTTGGTGGCTCTGCACCACTAAAGTTTTATTTAGAAAAACATGCAGTAAGCCCAGTAGCTCGTGAACTGTATTTTATGCATTCCTATTCTAGGTGAATGCACAGAACAGAATGCTAGTCTTGTAGTACCAAGCCCCAGATACTAGCACTCTTAATTACATTGAGCTACTGGCTCATCTTTCCTTTTATGACAGCAAATGAGGAGAGAAATTGCTAAGGCAGGTAATTTTTACTTTGTTATTGTAAACTTTTTATTAAAAAAGTCTTCTGGAGTGCTTTCATGTGTTCACTTTTATTCCTAAGGTAATCAAAACTAAGTTTTGATAGAAAAGAATATAGCTATACAAGCTATACATAAACATTGTGTAATAGATATCCTGGATGAAATCAAAGAGAAAACCAGTTGAACAGATACTCTCAGACTTTCTGGGGTTTGCCTTGAACCCCAAGAATCAGAAATGCTCACATTTCTTGTTTTCAGTGATTTCCCCCCTAACTTAAGTCTCATGATGTCTACTGGTTGAATAGGGTTCCCCAAAATTCATGCCTACGTGGTGCCTGTGAATGTGATTTTTGGAAGAAGGTTCTTTGCAGATAAAATCAAGTTAAGGTGAAGTCATACTGGATTAGGGTGGGTCCTAAATTCAATGACTGGTACTTTTCTAAGAAGAGGGAAAGTTGGGCATAACAGGGAAGGTGGTCACATAAAGAGGGAGGCACAAATTGAAGTGGTGGAGTTGAAAGCCAAGGAATACCAAGCATTTCAGACAATCACCAGAAGCTAGGAACAGACAGGATTCTCCTCTAGTCCTACAGTTGGCTCTGACAACACCTTGATTTTAGACTTCTACCCTCTGTGAGAATAAATTTCTGTTGTTTATGCCACCCAATTGTGGTGCTTTGTTATAGCAGCCCTGGGAAACTAATACAAAGTTCCATTATTCTCACCACTCAATAGAAAAAAGGATTGTAGTGCAGTGCTTTGGGCTGACATGGTTCAAGGGGTCATGAGTTTTAGGATAAGTGGGCTGCAACCACCACCATCCTGAAAACAGGCAGGACTTTTGGCCCTGGTTCTTGTGTGCTAAGTGTGACCCCACTTACTTTCCTAGGCTTTCCAAGCCCTTTTGCCTCAAAGCAGATATGGTGGGGATACACCCTTGACCTACAAATGGGCACAGTCAATGCATGGCCCATAGTCTGTCAGCCAGGATTTTTCAATTAGTGTTCCAATGCACAGTAAATGGCAAGGCAGTGTCTGCATTTAAAACACCAGTGGGGAAAAAAAAGGTGCAAACTCACTCGTCTACCAGTCCTCAGTTTGACACCTCTTGTAGTAATTCCTTAAGAGCAAGGTAGACAGTGAAGTTAGGCTGACCTATCAGTGTACTGGGGTCGGCATTTTTGCTTGTGCTCAGAAGTATCTAAATTGTTAAGAACTTGTAATTTATGTATAAGGAATTTTACTGACAATAAGGGGCAAGAATCAGAATTTCAACAAAATATACTTAGAATGCTATTTTTATTATTACAACTTCAACTTTTATTCTTGGAGTTAAACCACTAGATAAAATCTTAAGTGTGTTAAACTCTAGTACTTTTCCCTAGTTCTTTCCCCAACTATCAAGAATAGGAAACATGTCACTTTACCAAAAATGACTGAGTTGTGTTGGGCCTGGAGAAGAAGTCAGGTAAAAGGAGCGGGTCTTTGGGCTGCTGATGGTTAGGCTCATCCACCACTGCACTTCGAGCTCGACTGGAATCACCATGGGGTTTCTTCAAAGGAAGCAATCGTTACAGAAATGGTTAAGAGTGGGAGCTGTGCATATCCCATTATTAACCCTCACAGGTCGGGTACCAGCTGGCCAAGCAGTTCCAGTTCCACTGTCATAAATTATAACTCAGTTTGTGCTTTTGACAGAATACAATATAAATTAAGATCAGAGCACAAATCATGCAGAATTACTGCTCATGCAGTTTTGTAATAAGCACATAGGCAATGTGAAAGAGACATACCATTTGTCTTTGTGGTCCCACAGTGTTCAGATGTTCCACTTCAGCTGTGCCAATAGGCGGCAGCAGATTATTTCGACTCAAAGGTATTGATGAGGGAGAGGAGAGCGAGTCAGCTGTCACTGGGCTGCAGATCCCAGCACCAAAATACAAAAGCGAGAAGTTGTAGCAATACAAGCAAGTTGATTAGAAATCAAATAAATGAAGATGAGTAATGTGTACAGAAAGCTTTAAGCTACCTATGTTTTTAAATGAAGTCAGGTTTTGGAAAATTAGATTTTTTTTTCAGAATTATACATCTTTAGCTAAATCAAAAGATACTGCATTAACATTTAAATCTTTAAGATTTTTGTATTTAAATCAGCTGGCAATCCATTATATGAACATTTAACTGTTTCTAGGCACAGATTTCAACCTTATATAAGTTCATTGTCTAATAATCACTAATTTTACCAGTTTCCAGAAATTGTTTTTGGACCTACACTCGTGGTCCTCTGAGGATTTCTTCCATAGGTCGTGGTGTTCCAGCACGTGAATGGCTTGTGCTGATCGGGTGAAGGGTACGAGGTGGGGGGTTGCGTCTCCTGGCGGACTGCACTGTGTATGACAGAGATGATGAACTAAGCTCCGGAACTCGATTTGGCCAATTTCGGGTTGAGAGGATGGTACTGGACCCAGGTCTCATAAGTAGCTTGTCATCAAGATCGCTAGTGACCAAACCAGAAACCCACAATAAAATAAAGGTCACTATGTATAGGAAGAAAAGACTCACAGGGTAAAAAGCCTTATTCTAAAACATTCAGGGAAGAAAAGAGCAAAAATAGAAATCTTTTGGTAAGTAACTTAGTTTTCAGAGGGTATTCTAGAAAATCTGTTTGTTTTCTTAGGGCTCTAGGGGTTGAATTTAGGGCCTTACACTTGCTAGGCAGGCGCTCTACCACTTGAGCCACTCTACCCACCCTGCTTTTTATTTTTTTAAAGATAGAGTCTTGTTCTGTGTCAGGCTGTCCTCAGACTCACAGTCCTCCTGCCTCAGCCTACTGAGTGCTGGGATTACAGATGAGCACCACTACACCTGGCAAGAATCTGTTCTTAAAAGAAAAACATTATTTCAATCATAATTTATTAGAGTGGGGATTTCAGAAAACAGTCACCTGCCAGCACAGTCGTTTGTTCACCAGCAAAGGCAAGCCTGAACGGTACCTCTTTCAAAGTGCTTTCCAAAAGTTTGCTGCCTGCTGAGAGTACTACTATATTCGAAACATTTTTCTGAGCTGAGGGAATGTCACCAGAAAGACAACTGAAAGGCTTATACTGTGGCTTGGGAGCAGTTGTGGCACCAGTGTGGCTCCCACTGCAGAGATTAAAATGCCGAGCTAGGTAAGCCACAGGGTAGGGGTTAAGGTTGACTCTTTGGAAAGCTGGGAATAGGCAAAGGGTCCAGACTGTGCTACCCAGGGCAGTGGGACTGCAGTAGATTCATTATTTGCATAAACAACTGAGTTTATGCAACTCTTCTATGAGTCCTCTGATAAAATACCATGCCTGAACACTTCAGTAGCTTAAGCCCTGCCCTCCAGATTTGGGAGTTTTCTGTTTGTCTTTGGGTTTTAAAGCAGATGAGAGTAAGTTTGACTAAGACACCTAGAAGACAGTATGTGCACAATGAAATGGGAGGAAATTGGAAAAAAACAAAGCAACCAAGTTCTGCCACTTAGCTTTTATAAACTCAAATTCCTCAATCTTTGAGGCCACTAGGTTGTCCTCTAGTGTAAAACATACCTCAGTGTTTGGAGGGAGAATGCCATTAAGAAACTAGGTCAAACCTTGAGAATGACATTACCATGTTTTGTTTTTTTTTTTAAGCAAACCAAAACCAAAAAAAAAGACACTCATGCATTCTAATTACAAAATATTTGAGCTTTTCTTGCCCCGTGTTGATCTTTATTTTGTTATGTGAACTTCTCATTCATGATTCTGGGTTCAGGTATCTCTAGGTAGATGATGTTTAGGTCGATCTCCAAATTTCCCATTTCCCAAGGGCCATTATTGTAACTTAACACAGCCTTCTCCTTCCACCCTAAAAAAAGTCCCTTTAGCTTAAAATCTCAGAAATTTGATTCCTCTCTTTTATAGAATTTCATTTCTTGTGTAATATCTCCTAAAATAGTAAGTCCCCCATCTTTTAAAAAAAAAAAAAATCTCGTAGTTGTGGAGATCGAATCCAGGGACTTGCACATTCTAGGCAAATGCTCAGCTATACCCCTCCCCCAATACATTCCTTTTCCTATGCTAGCACTGGAGTGCAGACCCTTACTGCTCATGTTTGAACTTCTGTGTAGACTCCTTACTTTTGGTTCCTCTTGCTGCAATCTAATCTATGTTCCACTGTGGTGAAATCTTTCAGTTTTTTTATTTAAACATATATGCTCCCCAGATGAAACTAACATTGCTAGTTGAAGTGTAAAATGGTGCAACTATTTTGGGAAATTGTACGGCATTTAAACACACCCGTCCTATAACCCTTTCACTTCTAGTTACTGACCCAAGGGTAATCTCCACAAAAACCTATGCATGGATATTTATAGTACCTCTATACATAATAGCCCCAACCTGGAAAGGACCCAAGTGAGAGTAGATAAATTGATATTTTTGCAGTGGAAAACTAACTCAACAATAGAGAAGGTCATGTGAAACAACATAGATGAATCTCAAAAACATGGCCTTCAAAACCATCCACAATCTGGTCACAACATTTATTAGCTTCACTGACTTGTTTTCCCACGAATCATACCATGGTCTATTTTAATTTTAGAAGATTGTCAATAGTCTTTGATCCGATGCATTCAAGTTCTGATATTTCTCTTCTACTCACAGCAAAAATGGTCTTGTCTTTTTCCTAGTCTGTATTTTCTTTTCCTACACCATTCTTCTACCTCCAATGCCATATTGCTGTTCTCTGCTTATCCACACCCCCACCAACATGTGCCCACCAAATGCCTCTTCCTTTAGAGCTGCACTCACTCTATATAACACCCATTTGGCACTCAGTCACAAAAATTCTTGATGTGGTTAGGTCTCTTTTCTCCCAGGTGTGTCTTCTCTTCCCAGTTATCAGTTCCCTGTGCCTGAAGACCCAGGCCCCTTGGATGTTTTACTCCCCAGGTGTCTGTGTTGCTTCAGGTACTCAAAAAGGCAAAATGATTGACAGACTCTTGCTTTCATTTTATTTCTCAGTGATCTAATTAAACTCTACAATCTACTAATTCTATACTTCTTACAGGAGCTTGTCCATTAGAGAGAGATTTCTTGGCTGTAGAGGCATCCCATGAACCAAGAGACCATTCACATTTGACTGATGACCACTTGCTTGACAGAAAGTCATCTATGTGTCAAAAAAAAATGTTACTCATTACTGGCTGGTAAAGATATCTGTTCGATTTCCTAACTTGGCTAAAAGTATTTCCAATTAGGCCATTTGTACATTTTTCCCCTGTGCCTTAACTTTTATAACTGCTGCCTAGTACCCCTGAGACCCCAAAGTGCACTCCCAAGAGGACAGGTCCTTTTCTTTCCTATTTCTGTCAGCAGGTTGGGGATACCTGATCAACCTAGAGGAAAGCAATTAATAGGCACTCTCATAGGAGATAAGGAACCATTATTATTGTTTAAAACAGAAAAACCTAAATAAAAAATTCACAAACTCTGGAACAATAATAGAAACAAGTAAGGGTAAACTAACTCTCAAGTTGATCTCTTTCATCATCACACGATCCTGAACTCTGCACAAACTCTTTCACTACCCCTGGAGCAGTCAGCTGTCCGTGATAAAACCTGTTTTCTTTTTTTTTATTTCTTTTGAAACAGTCTTGCTGTGTTGCCTAGGCTGGTCTCAAACTTATGGTCAAGTGATCCTTCTGTCTCAGCTTCCTGAATTCTGGGATGGCACATCACCAAACCTGAAGTCTGTAAGGAGTTAATTTTACTTGTTTTAATGTTACCAGGACTTAATCTTTCTTGGACTGGCAGTGGCACCTACAGCCCTGCTTATATTCTCTTAGGTCATCAGTTCAGTACTCTTTGGCCATCTCCTCTGCCACAGAATGTTATTTTCCTTCCTTTTTCCTCTCAAGAATGTTTGACTTGACTATGCAACCTATACCATCTAGTTAACTGTTCAAGACTAAGGCCATCTAAACTATAGTCAAACTCATTCAGAGTGTGGGTCACCACCAGAGGAACATTACTTTACCTGGATCATTCCCCAATGTGTCGAGTCATGAGCCTTGATGATTTTATTTTTAAATATCCCTTTTGTAAATCTAGTTGCATAATATCTGGCCAATTTACCAACAAAGCTCATGACTAGATCTGGGCTCAAATCTGACTCAGGGCTGATAAGCATGACCAAAGGATTAGGATCAAAATCTTTTTTTTTTCCTCCCCATGCCTTTATTTTTACAACAAGTAGTGAAACTATCATGTAGGAATTGGAATTATGTAAGTCATTATACAGGGATGTAACCAAGTTTATCAGCCCTTGCAAGAAATGGCCATCTTTGCCCTTTTTCAGAGACTTATTTGAGGTAGTTTTCCTCTTCCTTTTAGTTTGTGTTTTACATCTAGGCTATGAGATAAACATCCAAGGGCAAAAAAAAGTCAACATATTCAAATATTAAAAGGACAAAAAACAGGGTTGGCTGAGTTAAGAGAAAAAAGAGGGAAGGAGCTAAAAAGGAGTTCAAGGGCAAGAATATTAAGACCACAGAAAATCTGAAATTAGGTTCTCTTCTCTTCATAAAGGATATCCTTTGATATAGTTGATTCTAGAATGCACAACTTAAAAGATGCCTCTTCAAAAGATTAATGCAGAGTCATAATAAACATAATCGTACTGAATACTTAGTCATAAGTAATACAATTAAGGTAAAGAACTCTGAGCAAATTTCCTCTGGCAAGAATAGCCCTAGGTTCTCCCACACGTCTTCTCTGGCACTTACTGGATTTGATGTGATGGACAGCATCTTAGACTGGGGTACTCGAGGTAACACCAAAGGATGAGACTCACTCAGCACACAGGGACTTCCTGAATCCGGTCTGGTGATTGCAACATTGCTCTCATCATCTGAGCAAAGGATAGATATCTATTATCCATAGATATCTTCAGACCTACAGCAACAGTACTGTGAAAAAAAAATCTCTCCCAACAATTCATAATCTCAAGCAAGCCTTCATCATCTGTGCAGCCCAATTTCATACCACCTGCATGGTTCAAAAGACCCCCTTAAAGCAAGAGTTCAGTTTAAAGTGGTTTCTCTGGCTGGCAATGCCTAGTGGTACCCAGAAGAAGGAAAAGCAGAGCTCTCTAGAGCAAAGCTATGTGGACAACCTTTAGAGTTGATGGAAATGTTTTACATCTGTGATGTCCAATATGAGATCACAAGGTACATGTGGCTATGGAGCACTTGAAGTGTGGGTTCTGGACTAGTTTAATTTAAACAGCCCCATGTTTTAGTGACTTTTTTTTTGCAAGACTGGGATTTGAACTCAGGGCCTCTACCTTGAGGCACTCCACCAGCCCTTTTTTGTGATGGGATTTTTTGAGATAGAGTCTTTCGAACTGTTTTCCCAGGCTGGCTTCAAACCGTGATCCTCCTGATCTCTGCCTCCTGAGTAGCTAGGATTATAAACATGAGCCACTGGCACCCAGCTTGTAGTGACTATTCTACTAGACAGTGGACAGTGTAACTCTAGGGGAGTCTTCAGATCATTAATTCAGACCTCACTTCCCACAAATAAAGTTAGAAAATTGGAAACCACTACTATACTACTAAAAATCACATGATCTCGACATTAGAAAGGCAGAGGCAGGAGGATCTCAAGTTTGAAGTCAACCTGGGCTACATAGTGACACAGTGAAACCTGTCTCACACATTAAAAAACAAAAAGGCACTTTGAAAAGGAGTAAGCAGAAACAACATAATCAGTTCTGCAAAGTCTTGAGAAGTTGGAATGAAGAGATGCAGAATATAAAATAAAACAAGCACCAGGCATGGTTGGAAACATCTGTAATCCCAGCACTCGGGAGACTGAAGTAGGAGAATTGAAAGATCAGGGACAGCCTGGACTATGTAGCAAGACCCTGTCTCAAACAAGCAAAAATATGAGTAATCACAAAACAACATAAAAACAACCAAGTAGATTTTTTAAAAGGAACACAATAAAGCCCAAAGGAAAACTAAAATTGTTAAAAACTCATAAGGTTAATAGCACAAAATAGCCATAATAAAAATATCTGAAGAAATGCAGGGAGGCAAGGAGATAGAAAATATAACTAAAAAGGGTGGATTTTACTGTATGTAAATTGTACCTTACTTTAAAAGTAGAAATAAACACAAGCTGTGTGTGGTGGTACAAACCCGTAATCCCAGCACTGAGGAAGCTGAGGTAGGAGGGTAGTGAGGTTGAGGCTAGTCTAGGCTACATAGTGAGCCCCTATGTCAGAAATAAACAAAACATACTTACAAAAAATTACAATTGAAGAAGTATTGATGAGATGAGCAGAGAAACTCCTATTCTGGCACTGGGCATATAATCCTGGATAATTTGGTGGTGTAAAGTTGAAGATGTATATTCCCTGGGACCCACCAATTTCACCCTTGGTACGTGATATAGAAAATCCTTTGCAAATATATGTGAGGAGAAATAGTCAATAATGTTTGTAGCATCACTGGTCAAAATTGCCAAACACTGCCTATTAGTAATTCTAAAACATCAACTATGACTATAAAAACAAACTTGAGAAGAAATCATGTTTCTGAGTAAGATCAATATGAACTGTTTAACTCTGGAAAAAAAATTGGAGGCTACTTAAAAAGCTAGACATCGATCTACCATTTGATCCAGCAATACCACTCTTGGGGATATACCCAAAAGACTGTGACACAGGTTACTGCAGAGGCACCTGCATACCCATGTTTATTGTGGCACTATTCACAATAGCCAAGTTATGGAAACAGCCAAGATGCCCCACCACTGACGAATGGATTAAGAAAATGTGGTATCTATACACAATGGAATTTTATGCAGCCATGAAGAAGAACAAAATGTTATCATTCGCTGGTAAATGGATGGAATTGGAGAACATCATTCTGAGTGAGGTTAGCCTGGCCCAAAAGACCAAAAATCGTATGTTCTCCCTCATATGTGGACATTAGATCAAGGGCAAACATAAGGGGATTGGACTTTGAGCACATGATAAAAGCGAGAGCACACAAGGGAGGGGTGAGGATAGGTAAGACACCTAAAAAATTAGCTAGCATTTGTTGCCCTTAATGCAGAGAAACTAAAGCAGATACCTTAAAAGCAACTGAGGCCAATAGGAAAAGGGGAACAGGAACTAGAGAAAAGGTTAAATCAAAAAGAATTAACCTAGAAGGTAACGCCACGCACAGGAAATCAATGTGAGTCAATTGCCCTGTATAGCTATCCTTATCTCAACCAGCAAAAACCCTTGTTCCTTCCTATTATTGCTTATACTCTCTCTACAACAAAATTAGAAATAAGGGCAAAATAGTTTCTGCTGGGTATTGAGGGGGTGGGGGGGAGAGAGAGGGGGCGGAGTGGGTGGTAAGGGAGGGGGTGGCGGCAGGGGGGAGAAATGAACCAAGCCTTGTATGCACATATGAATAATAAAAAAAAATCCCATTTACAATAAAAAAAATATGAACTGTTTAGTTTTATGGTCTCTAAACCATTTCCATTACTATCATTTGGTTTACCATTGTTTCATTTAGAGAAGGTATACCTTTTTTCAAAAACAATTACTAGTGAAGCTTGTTTCCCTACTAGCAAATTAGGGTTTGAAAAAATGCTATGACAATAATTTAAAAATATTTTCCCATAATTGGATGGTAAAAATGTCTTGATAAAAAATACAAAAAATTGAATTTATAAAAATAATAAAATGATAGCCTCTAAGGATGATAGACTTCAGTGGCCTGGTAGTCGCATTGTCCTAGCATACCACAGACCCTGGCTTCCATCCCCAGCCCTGAAAAAAGAAAACACATAGGAATAAATTACTACATTTACTCAGAATTTTATATACTTATTAGTTACAATCTTTTTTTTTTTTGAGCTGACAAACCTTAAAATATCACAAGTTGTCATGTTCTGTTATATTCAACAAGCATGTAGTTTGGCTTTCTTCCTTACATAGGGGTAGGAAATATGGTTCTAGTAGTGGGGATAAGTTTGTATAGGCACCTGGGAATTGGCTCTCAAAACAACAAATCTATACTAACACCCAAATTCAAGAGTTCTTTCCATAGTTCCAGATATCTTAATAAAAATAATGATAATAGCTAGCATTTATTGAACTCTTATATAGCCCAGGAACTGCTCCATGTACTTTCATGTAACTTGTTTATTCCTTTTATGACCCTATCAGGTATACATTAGTATTATACTCAAGGATAAAGAAACTGAGGCACAGAGGTTAATTAAGCTGTCAAAGTTCTAATGTTAGCATCAGAGTTAGCAGTCAAAACCAGGTTTTCTGGCAGCAAAATCTGTGCTTTTAATCATTATACTACATTGCTTCTCATGAGAATTACATTTTAGAGCAGGAGTTGGCAAATTAAGGCCTACAGACCAAATCTCTATCTTATTACTTATTGTGGTAAAGTACACGTAACATGTGGCTTATCATTTTAAAATACATAATTCAGTAGCAATTAATTACATTAATGATTATATAATCATTACCACTACCTAGTTCCAGAATTTTTCATCACTCCAGAAAGAAACCTCCTACCCACCACCACTATCTATTTTTGTACTTAGTTGTAACAAATTTGCTTATTGTTATTACTGCATAGTATTCCAGTGGAAGACTATTACACCTCACTGTTGATGAATATTTGAGTAGTTTCCAGTTTATGTTTTCTAGCATATAGTGCTGTTATGAACATCCATGTGTTGTCTTTTGGTCAACTTAAGTACTGAGGACATAGGAGTGCCATTTACATGTTGTTGATGGTTGCTTTTGTGCTACAAGGGCAGGGCTGAGTAACTGCAATGAGAAAGGATGACTGGCAAAGATACATTTTACTATCTGGCTCTGCATAGACAAAGTTTGCTAACCTCTGTTTCAGGGTATTTCAATCAACCCACTAAACCATTTAGAAATCCTCCTGCTCCATTTCAAGATTGGTAATTTTTTTTAAAAGACTTTAAAATCACAACTATAATATAATGGAATAATATAAATTTATGGATTCACAGAAAAATAAAGGAAATAGTTTTCATGGACTAGTATTGACAATTGTGAAAGGTGAAATAAAGTTTTCTCTGATATCTCCGTGGTCGATTCTGAAAACCGAAGGAGTTCCTTTATGGACAGGATTTTTTGTTGTAGTTTAGACATGACTCTGGACTTACCATTTGTCCCATGTCTCCAAAAACTTACTCTCACATAAATAATCTGGTTAATTTTAAAGAGTGTTAGTTGAATTCTCTAATACAATCTTTAGGAGAGAAGTTAACACACACACAATAGAATGGGTTAAAAAGAAAACAAACCCGCCAGGAGCCAGTGTAATCCTAGCTACTCAGAAGGCAGAGATCAGAAGGATTGCAGTTTGAAGACAGCAGGGCAAATAGTTTGTGAGACCCTATCTCAAAAAAATCCCATCACAAAAAAGGGCTGGTGGAGTGGCTCGAGGTGGAGGCCATGAGTTTAAACCCCAGTACTGCAAAGGAAAAAAAAAAGAAAAATACTAAGTGTGGCAAACACATGGAGAAACTGGAAAGCTCACATAATACTGGACAGAATGTATATAGGTAAAACTACCTGGTAAAAAATTTGGACAGTGTTCACTGAAATTGGAATAGTACACCCTATAACCTAGCAATTCCACTATATATATAGTCCATATGTTCCCCCAAAGACATACAAGTTATATATTTCTGCTGCCCTATTAATAAATGGCTTTCACCATTTATTATAGCATTTCATTATGCTATCTTTATATACAGATGCAATGTATTTTGATATTATTCACTCTATCATTTTCTTTTCCTCTCCTACCTTATTAACACATCCTTATAAAGTTTTAAAACAAAATTAATCTGTGGTGTTAGAAGTCAGGATGATCTTGCTCTTGGGGAGGGTTGGGAAGCATGAAAAGGGCTTCTGGTAACATTCTCTTGGTGGGTGCTGATCATACATTCAGTTTTTTTTAATTCCTCAAGCTTACCTGATATAAACTTCCTGTGTCATTTTCTATTTGAGGATTATATTTCAATGAAAGCCTTTCAAAATATAATTCCTGGAGGCTGGGTCTGTAACTCAGTGGTACAGTGCCTGCTTAGCAAATGTGAGGCCCTGGGTTCAACTCCCAACAGTAGCAGTACCACTACCACCACAAAAATAAAATTAAATGTATCTACTGGAAAAGGGACTAGGTTTACCCTCTTGCTTAAAACAGCCAACAAAAACCATAAAACAATGGTTTTTAAGGCACTGAACAATAGGTAGTAAAAGATAGTGAACCTTAAGATGATAAACCAATGAGACATGCCCTGCAATCACCTGGGAAGTTTACAAGATATGGTGCAAGGAGAAGGAAATGAGGTACAGCCTGGTGGACTACCTGAGTTGAGAGTGCAGAGTGAAGAAGACAGGATTCATAGGACAGAATACTGGAGAGGAGAAAAATGCACAAAGACCTCAGGATATCTGCAGTGAGTGGGTATCCCTTGAGTATCTGGAGTACTCATCAGTGCCTGTGGAGAAGGAACCATCTGAGGCTAGGAAAAAGAACCACCTGAGAGATTTATAGGGAACAAAGCCTGCTGCTCACATGAATCAAGATGTGCCTGCTCACATTAGCCAGACCAGAACTCAATTCACAGGACACTGGGCAGAATAAGATCCTGCCTCAGCAGGTGGGGCATAATTAGCTGTAGATTGAGCATTGCTCCAGACCTGTCTAATAAATCATAAAAGAAGACAAAAAAGGATCAAAGTTTCTAGTCCAGAGAGAAAAATCTTAAAAACCAGCCAAAGGAAAAACATGTGTACACAGGAACAAAGATAAAAATGAAATTGGATTTCTTGTCAGAAATAATGCAAGTAAGAAGACACATCTTTAAAGTACTGGGGGAGAAACTGCTGGCACAGAATTAATAAAATTATCTTGAAAAGAAGAAGGCAAAAACCAGGCTCGGTGGCTCACATCCATAATCCCAGCTCCCAGAAACTGGGAGGATCACAGTTCAAAGCCAGCCTGGGCAAAAAGTTAGCAAGACCTCATCTCAATTAGTAAGCCTGGTGTAGTGGTGCACCTATGATCTCAGCCATGTGAGAAGCTGTAGGTGGGACGATAGTTGTCTAAGGCCAGCCCTGAGCAAAAATGATAGACCCTATTTGAAAATTAACAAAAAGGCTGGGGGGGGGCGTGGCTCAAATGGTAGAGCATTTGCCTAGCAATTTTAAGGCCCTGAGTTCAAACCCCAGGACCACCAAAATAAAATAAGTGTTCAGCTGGGCACCAGTGGCTCATGCCTGTTATCCTAGCTACTTGGGAGACTGAGATCAGAAGAATTGTGGTTGGAAGCTAGCTTGGGCAAATGGTTCTTGAGACCCATCTCCAGATATAACCAGATCAAAATGGACTTGGAGGTGAGTCTCAAGTGGTAGAGCACCTGTACTGCAAATGTGATACCCTGAGTTCAAACTCCAGTCATCCCCACCCCACACAAAAAAAGTCCACAAAAGGAATGATCACCAGCAGATCCACTTATAGGGAATGTTAAAGGATATTCATCAGGCTGGAAGAGTCTTTATAAAGCTTTTAATGAAGTAATACTCAAAGAACATAAAATTGGCCATTTTGACCATTTTAAAGTGTACAATTCAGTGGTTTTTAGTATATCTGCCACAAAAAATGATGATGTATAATCATCACCACTATGTAATTTAGAAAATTTCCATCACTTCAAAAATAAACTGTATCTCCCAATTTACTTTTTCCTCCATACCCTGGGACCCACTGAACTATTTTTTGTCTATATGGTTTTGCCTCTGGATAATTCATAAGAATGAAATCATATAATATATGGCCTTTTGTAGCTGGCTTCTTTCCTTTAGCATATTTTCAAGATTCATTCATGTTGTATAATGTATCAGTACTTAATTCCTTTTTATGGCTGAATAATATTCCATTACATGGCATATTGTCTCCTGAAACTACTGTAACAAAATACCAGACTAGGTGGCTTATACAATACACATTTATTTTCTCACAGTTCTGGAGTTCAAGATCAAGATGCCATCAGGGCTGGTCTCTGGTAAGGCCTCTCTTCCTGGCTTGTAGGCGGCTACCTTCTTGCAGTGTCCTCATATAGTCTCTTCTCTGTGCATGCGTGGAA